TTAATCTCTTCCCCACCTCTCCCCACTTCCCTCTGAAATATGTCAGTCTGTTGCATGCTTCGATGTCTCTGGGTCTATTTTGTTTATCAGTTTATTTTGTTCATTAGATTCCACATATGAGATCATGTGATACTTGTCTTTCTCTGTTGAAGCTCTTTATTAGGTGTGTAAATATCTAGGATTCTTTCGTTCAGTTGAACTGACTTTTTTATCATTATGAAATATCTCATTTGTTAGCTTATTAGCTATAACTCTGTTGTATTGTTTTAGAGTGTATAATGCACATATTTCACTTATGACACTCTATATTCAGATGATATACCACTACATGAATAGTATAAGAATCTAATCACTGCCTGGCCAGCACTGCTCAGTGGTTGAGCGTCAACCCATGAACCAGGAGGTCATGGTTTGATTCCAGGTCTGGGCACATGCCTGGAATCAGGTTGCGGCCTGATCCCTGGGAGGTGGTGTGCAGGAGGCAACCAATAGATGTTTCTCTCTCATCGATGTTTCTACCTTTCTCTCCCTCTGCCTTCCTCTCTCTAAAATCAATAAGAATATATTTTAAAAAATAAAATCTAACAACAATATACAGGGGTGGGCAAAAGTAGGTTATAATAATAATAAATAATCTACACTAATAAAAGAGAAACATGGTAATTAGCGTACGACCGCTACCCTTCCCATCGGCTAATCAGCATATCCTTATGCAAATTAACTGTCAGCCAAGATGGCAGCCGGCAGCCATGCACTGAAGCGAATAGGGAGGCTTGCTTGCTCCAGTGATGACGAACTCCAGCGTTCCCCGCCTGACTTGCCAGCCTCTCAGCTGCAACTCTAAGCAACTATGTTGCAAATATAGAAGCTAAACAAAACCCTAGAAACCGGCTTTCAGTCAGCCGGGCTTCAGCCAGCCGGATCGCAACATTGTATCAAATACAGAAGGTAAAGGCCAGAAACCTGCTTTCAGCAGCGAGGCCTCAGAGCTAAAGCTGGCCCAGAATAGAAAAAAAAAAAAAAGAAAAAAAGGAGCAGTTGGGAGCTTCAGTCACCCGCCAGCCTGAAAACGGCCCTCAGCCCCTCACCCAGACTGGCCAGGTACCCCAGTGGGGACCCCCACCCTGATCCAGGACACCCTTCAGGGCAAACCAGCCGGCCCCGACCCGTGCACCAGGCCTCTATTCTATATAGTAAAAGGGTAATATGCCTCCCAGCACCAGGATCAGCTTGACAGGGGGCAGCGACCAAACCCCCTGATCGCTCTGCGGCTCTGTGTGTGACGGGGGGGGCGGGGGGGGACGACACACAACCTCCCTAACTGCCCTGCTCTGTTCGTGACAGGGGAAGGCACCCCAACCCCCTGATCAGCCCTGCTCTGTGCCTGATAGCGGGGAGCTCCCCAATCCCCTGATCGCCCTGCGGCTCTGTGTGTGACAGGGTGCAGCGCCCCAACCCCCTGATCGGCCCTGCTCTGTGTGTGAGAGGGTGCAGCGCTCCAACCCCCCCACCCCCCCACGGGCCCTGCTCTGTGTGTGACAGGGTAGAGCCATAACCTCCCCATTGGCCCTGCCCTGAGTGTGACAGGGTGCAGCGCCCCAACCCCCTGATCCGCCCTGCTCTGTGTGTGACAGGTGGCGATGCCCCAACTCCCCTATGGGCCCTACTCTGTGCATGACAGGGGGGAGCTCCTCAATCCCCTGATGGGCCCTGCTCTGTTCATGACAGGGGGGAGCTCCCCAACCCCCTGATGGGCCCTGCTCTGTGTGTGACAGGGGGTGGTGCCCCAACTCCCCTATCGGCCCTACTCTGTGCATGACAGGGGGGAGCTCCTCAACCCCCTGATCGGCCCTGCTCTGTGAATGACAGGGGATGGCGCTGCAACCTCCCCATCGACCCTGCCTTGAGTGTGACAGGGGGTGGTGCCCCACCCCCCCCAATCGGCCCTACCTTGAGCGTGACTGAGGGTGGCATCGCAACCTCCCAATCCGCCCTGCTCTGTGCATGACAGGGGGTGGCGCCCCAACTCCCCAATCGGCCCTGCTCTGAGGCTGACCAGGGGCTGCACCTAGGGATTGGGCGTGCCCTCTGCCACCCAGGAGCAGGCCTAAGCCAGCAGGTCGTTATCTCCTGAGGGGTCCCAGACTGCGAGAGGGCACAGGCCGGGCTGGGAGACCCCCCTCCCTCCCTGAGTGCACAAATTTTTGTGCACCGGGCCTCTAGTATAATAATAAAGACATAAATAATAATACAAGCATAAACTCTGTGTTTTGTGTGCTCAGAGCTGTAAGCCTACTTTTGCCCATTCCTATATTTCCATTTCTCTAATCTTGGCCTTTATGTTATTGTTACTTTCCAGATGTGTTATCAAATACTTGATGTATTATCATTTTTGCTTTAAAAGTCAATTATCTTTTGAAGCCATTTAAATAATAAGAAAACAGTATTTATATTTGCCCACCTAGTTACCATTTCCAGTGTGCTTCATTCCTTTGTGTAACTCCAGGTTTCCATCTGGCATCATTTTCCTTCTGCCTGAGGGGCCTCTTTTAACATTTCTTGTAGTGCAGGCCTGCTGGTGATGAATTCTCTCAGCTTTTCTAGGTCTGAAAAAGTATCTTACCTTTATTTTTATTCATATTTAAATATTAAATATATTCTATTGATTTTTTACAGAAAGGAAGGGAGAGGGATAGAGAGTTAGAAACATCGATGAGCGAGAAACATCGATCAGCTGCCTCCTGCACACCCCCCACTGGGGATGTGCCCGCAGCCAAGGTACATGCCCTTGACCGGAATCGAACCTGGGACCCCTCAGTTCGCAGGCCGATGCTCTATCCACTGAGCCAAACAGGCCACGGCCACCCTCATTCTTAAAAGAAGTTTCAGTGGATATAGAATTCTAGGTTGTTTTTCCCCCTCTGTACTTTAAAGACTCTACTCTTCTAGCTGGCATTGTTTCTGATGAGAAATCTGCTGTCATCTTCATCTTTGTTCTTCTTTATGGAATGTGTTTCTCTCCCCCCACCCCCCCAGCTATTTCTAAATTTTTATCTTTATATCAGGTTTTAACAATTTGATAGTGACACTCCTTGGTGTTGTTTTCTTTATATTTCTCGTGTATGGTATTCATTGAACATTTTGGTTCTGTGGGTTTATAATTTTCATTATATTTGACATTTACTCAGCATTAGTTCTTGAAATATTTTTCTGTCTCTCCCCCCACTCACTGTTCAGAGATTCTAATTACATGTGTATTTTGGCACTTGAAGTTGTCCCACAGCTCATTAATGCTCTCTTTTTTTGTTTCATTTTTTAGTCTTTTTTCTTCTGTGTTTCATTAATTTCTATTGCTGTGTCTTCAAATCCACTAATATTTTCCCCTGTACTATCTAATATGTTGTGAATCCCACCCACTAATTTTTCTTCTTTGCTTAAAGAATTCAGATTCTTCTAAACCTTACTAAGATGTGATTGACATGAAACCAGTGTATTTACTCAACAGATGTTTAGTTAGCACCTAATGTTGCTAAAACTCTAAGGCTCTTTTGTGGGAAAACATGGTTTCCCTTTTGCAAAGGGAACTCATTCAAGTAATACTGAACATCTTCCTTGAGTGAGGTTGTGGGCTGGGTCCTCCAGCAGCCATGGAGATGGACAGACACTGACAATAGCCCGAGTTGCTTGTCAAGGAAAGAAGCTTACAATCCAGCATGAGGAGACAAAGTGACAGATTTTGTTAAATACGTTTATTTGACATCTTATATTTGAAGTGATATCTGATTACCCCACATGAAGAAGGTGCAATAAAACTCATTTAAATGGCCCGGCTGGCGTTAGTGCTTGAGCGACGACCTCTAAACCAGGAGGTCACAGTTAGATTCCTGTTCAGGGTACATGTCCAGGTTGCTGGCTGGATCCCCAGTAGGGGGCATGTAGGAGGCAGCCAATCAATGATTCTCTCTCATCATTGATTTTTCTATCCCTCTCCATTCTTCTCTGAAATCAATAAAAATATATTTTTTAAAAAATCATATAAATGACAGAATTTTAAAAGAACTTGAGCGAGAAGGCACTTAAAAACAACAGCAACAAAAAGACAGATGGTCTCTTCATGGGGAAAGTGGAGGAAGCTAAGGGGAAATGGAGAAGGGCTCTGGAAGGTGTTCTGGCGTGGCTTTGTCCGGCTCTGTGCCCGTGTCCTGAATAGTAATCCTTGAGGCAAGAAGTGGCTGTCGATTCCCTGGGGCCACATTCTTGGCAGTACACATGGTTCTAGAATGACTAAGAAATCTAAATCCAGAAAGAAAATTTTAAAAAGTTTCACTTAAAATGTTTCAAGACAGAAAAATGAACCTCTTGTGTTAGGAAGAATTGCAACGTGCTAAAAATCTATTCCTAGCGGAGGAACTACTGGAAGGTGGGGGAAAGCACACTTTTACGAGCTTTTTAAAAAATTATTAAAGTGTAGTTGACACATAATATTAGTTTCAGGTGTGCAAAACATAGTGACTCAACATTTATGTACCCTAAGAGGTGATCACCACACCAAGCCTAGCAGCCATCTGTCACCATGCAAAGTTATTGCAGTATTATGAACTATATTTCCTGTGCTGTACACTACCTCTCCATGGCTGATTTATTTTGTAACTGGAAGCTTTTTACCAGTCCTTGCTCATATCAAGAGGGCATATGGAGGTACTTAGAATGGGAAGGTGGGGAAGTTCTCTTGTTTTAGAAGTTCCCAGGGCTGGGATACTGTCCTAGCAGCATAGGACTTTAGAGACTGAAAGTTCTCTGTAGAAGATGTAGTTCAAACTTTTCATTTTACAGAGGAATAAAGTGAACTTACCAAGGTTGAACAGAGTTAGCAATAGGGCAGGGATGAGACGCTGGGTCTCCTCTCGAACTGAAAGAATTGTTTCCTAATTAATGCTTGGAGGTACCTGGGCTTCAAATACTATAGGTAGGTTTTTGATCCTTTTTCTTTTTCTTTGCAGATCACATTTGACAATAAAGCCCACAGTGGAAGAATTAAGATAAGTTTAGATAATGACATTTCCATCAGAGAATGTAAAGACTGGCATGTTTCTGGATCAGGTAACTGATACATTTTACTGTTTTCCAAAATGGTTATTAAATTACTGGTCTCATGGATAGGTGGAGCATCGAATGAAAGAATTGTACTAATTGTACTACTTCCGAGTCTCTAGTTCTCTGCAAGTAGGTCAATTCATTGTAGTTATCTGATGTTCCCGGTAATACATAAATTATTAATAACTGAAATGACTTTTCCTGCCTTCTCCATCTGCCTTCATTGGTCCACTCCTTACTAAAAAAAATACTTAGTAAGTACAAAGAGGACTTGAAGAATTGTTCCCAGTCGGGAAGAACAGATTACAGTCTGAGTGCCCTTTATCGTGTTTTACATCTATAATCTGGTGTGCAACACAGCAGTTAAAATAAGTGAGGCTAAAAATGAAAAGAAAGAAAAAGTAGCTGTCACTGTATTAATGTCCCACTTCATAAACAGGTAATCCTTTTCCTTCCAGTTCAGAGAAACACTCATTACATGATGATCTTTGATGGCTTTGTTATCCTGATGTGCTTGACTTCGTTAATCCTGTGCTTTCGATCTGTGATTAAAGGAATTCAGCTGCAACAGGTAGGGGTTGTTGCTTTTCTAGGAATGTTACAGCCATGTTGATCAACAGAGAAACTCACTTTGCCTCCCCTCTTCCCCCTAAAGGAATTTGTCAATTTTTTCCTCCTCCATTATAAGAAGGAGGTTTCCGTTTCTGATCGAATGGAATTTGTCAATGGATGGTACATTATGATTATTATTAGTGACTTATTGACAATCATTGGATCAATTCTGAAAATGGAAATCCAAGCCAAGGTAAACTTTTTTCCTCTTTATGCCATTGTTAGTATCAGCTTTGCATTAATAGTACTTTATTTTTCCAGAATGTAAGAATTTGTAGAGTAAATGATTTCTTTCAAACATTGCATTGAGTAAACTTGGAATTGATAGCAACAATTTTCTTAAATCTAGTCAGGAAATCTTTTAGACAGAGTCTTTCAAAGTGTGATCCATAAATGTTGACATCAGAATCATTTGGGTAGCTGGTAAAAATGCTCACATTTCACCTACTGAATCTGAACTCTGGGGTGGGACCTGTGAATTCTTACACATACCAAAATTCATAAACACACCAAGATAGCTAAGGCAAGAGGTGTTTTTAGTTATTCTTACAAGAAATCCCAGAATCTTCAACATAAAAAGAGTAAGGCTGGGGGTGCAGACTGAGGCCAAGCTATGATTACGTGAGTGCTGTAGTTCTTTTCTTCAGATTGAGAATGTTGCTATATTCTGATCTTTCCCATTGATGGGTACAAGGCGCTCCATTCTGAGTTTGCTCAGACTCGAAATCAACCCTCTCTTCCAAAGCAAAGATCACATTAAAAAAATCGAATATTATTCAAAGTAATCTTGCTCAAATTTACACTTTTCCAACCTTGACTGTAACTAATTATGACTATAAGGCTGTTGTGATTCAGATCCTGGGCAGAGACCCCCAAATGCAATGGCTCAGAAAAGATAGGAGCTTATTTCTCCCTCACGTAACAGTCAGGGTGGGTTTTCCAGGTTGGTGAGTTGCTCAGCTCCATACAGTCATGCAAGGACCCAAATTTCTCCCATCTTGTTTTTCTGCCAGCCATTAAGGGCTTGCCCAGACTACATGATTGATGTTGGGTCATCTCACCAACAGGCTGCAGCCCGTGGAAGGGAAAACATGATCTGGTCTGGTCTGGAGGTAGCCCTCCCACAGTCTTACAGCCTTGGCTCTAGTGTGGTAGCCTTCACTTCTGTTCACGTTCCACTGGAGAGAATTTAGTCATATCCAACTGCAAGTGGTGCTGGGGAGTAGAGCCCGGGCATGTGCCTCAGAAGGACAGAATAGGTTTAAGTTGACACGGGGCTGCTGCCACCATGTCATAGCTGTTGTATAAATCATCAGAATAGACATTTAACTTTGGGTGGGGGGGAGTTTGGGGGAAGATTTGCAATAAATCTTCATTTATACCAACCTCAACTATCCTTAACCTCAATGAGCTCTTAATGGCACCCAACAACCTTTCCACATTTTTCTAGACCATTCACTACCCCATCTTATAAATGATAATTTCATGTTTTCTTCTCTTCCAAAAGCTCTAACTCCCCTGTCTCATCCCCACTCTCAGCTGGTGACCTCATTTCCTATTTCATAAGAACAGGGGTCCTCAAACTTTTAAACGGGGCCAGTTCACTGTCCCTCAGACCGTTGGAGGGCCGGACTATAGTTTAAAAAAAAAACTATGAACAAATTCCTATGCACACTGCACATATCTTATTTTGAAGTAAAAAAACAAAACGGGAACAAATACAATATTTGTATTTGCATGTGGCCCGCGGGCCGTAGTTTGAGGATCCCTGCATAAGAACAATAGGAAAAAAGTGAAAATTCCACAAACTCCCACTTCATTTATCTATCGACCAGCATCAGTGCCCACACGCCCTGCTTTTTCTGTTACGGAGGATTTATCATTTAGGCTATCATCCAAGTCCTACTTCTCCATATGCCGACCACATGTGGTCCCCACTTCTTACTTACGGGCACAGCTCCCCCCACACTTCTCCCTTTCCTTGTACATCATCCATCTCCCACTCTCTATGCTGTCATTCTCATCAGTATGTTTTTCTCTCCTTTCTGAAAAGACAAAATATCAACCCATCCCCCCAAGTTACTTCCTCATTTTCTGCTCCTCTTTATATGGCAAAAGACCTCAAAAGAGTAGTTCATCTTGTTTCTGATTCTGCTCCTCCCATTCTCTCTCATATCTGTTCCAACCGGACTGCCTGCCACTCCACAGAAAATGTTCTTTCTAAGGACCTCCCATGTTGCTAAGTCCAATAATCCATTATTTCAATTATTTACCCTTCAGCTTTTAACACTGTCAACACTCCTTCTTTGTTGATGCACTTTTTTTTTTCTTTTTTGCTGGGTATCATTTTCCTGGTGTTCCTCCTAGATCTTGGGCTGGTCTTCTGACTTTCCTTCACCAGTTTCCTCTCATCTCTCCAAACTATTAAAGTGAGGACTTCAAAGCATAGCACCGGGACAGGTTTTATTTTCTGCCACTGTCTTGGTGACCTCATTCTGTTCCATGCCAGTGATTTCCACACGTGTGTTTCCAGCTTGGAATTCTTCCTTCAACTCGTCTCACATTTCCAATTGTCTGTTCTACACTTCACTCCAGTGTCTATTTGGCCTCTCAAATGTAACATATCTAAAACAGAATTCCTAGGATCCCCCACCTCCACGGTCCAAACTTGCTTCTCCTTTCTAAGTTCAGTTAAATACCAACTATTTTCAGTTGCTCAAGACAAGAGTCATTGATTCATCCTCGAGGCTTCTCTTTTACTAATCCCCTCTCATGCTCCTCTAATCCAAGAAGAAATCCTATTGATCTACCTTCAAAAATTACCTCATCATCTCCACCACTAAGTCACCATCAGCTCTCACTCATTGCAACAGCCTTCTCACTCGTCTAACAATCTGCGCTCAACCATAGCAGCCAATATTTTATCATATCACTGCTGTTCAGAGATCTCAAATCCCCCTCCCCTATTCAGAATAAATATAAAGTTGTTAAATTATCCAGGAGACCCTAACTACCTGCCTCCTTACCTCTGACTTCATACTATATCCCCATCGCTTACTCCAGCCAGACTCACTATCTTGCCAGGTGCCCTCCTGCTTTGGGGCTTTTGCACTTGCTGGTTCCTGTGCCAGGAAAGCTCTTCCCCTTGATTTTGTTGGTTTGCTCCTCACTCCCTCCAGGTCTTTGCTCAAGTGCTGCCTTTTCAGTGAGACCTTTCCTGATCACCCTTCTTAAAATGCAACCTCCTACGCATTTCTTATCCCCTCTCCTGAATTTCCTCCTTTGCACATCAGCTAATGTATCAGGTGTTCATGAATGTATTGCTGCCATCTCTCCCCCCTCATTAGGAGGGAAGCTTCATGAATGTAGGAAATTTTGCCTGTTCACTGCTCTGTCCTTAGCCCCTGGGACAGTGACCAACTCATAGCTACCCAATAGACAGTTCCTGCTCATGTGAATTTCTGATTCCTTTTCCCCACTGTGTTTTAGAGTCTAACAAGTTATGACGTCTGCAGCATACTTCTCGGGACCTCCACCTTGCTGGTGTGGCTGGGCGTCATCCGATACCTCAGTTTCTTCCACAAGTACAATGTAAGACATTTCAAGGCTCTCAGTGCTGCTGGTCTTTCTCCCTTTCACTGTTATTGCGCTGCTTTGGCTGAAGGACAAAAGGATGCTAATGACCTCTCTCACTTTCTCAGCTCCTTATCCTGACCCTTCAGGCAGCGCTGCCCAGTGTCATGAGGTTCTGCTGCTGTGCGGCTGTGATCTATTTTGGCTATTGCTTCTGTGGATGGATTGTGCTGGGACCTTACCATGAAAAGGTAACTGCTCCACAACCTGTCACCTTGGGACCAGGAAGTTCTTAGAATAGTGCCAGTGGCTTGTTTTCTCCTTCCAAATGGACTCCTTTTATGTTGTGACTTAGCCTTCATATGTTGAAGGTAGTATATCTATTGCCATGTGTATAAACCAGTAAGGGGTGACCAACTTGAGAGAAGAATTGATTCACTCAACATCCTCAATTTCTTTAGCGGAATATGCCAAATAGTTAAGTCATTTTTACCACCAGTGAAGTAAAGTTTCGTCAGTTTGATTCATCAGTATATATTAGGCTATTTAGGTAAGGTGTCGCAAAATGGGATTTTATTTAAAACTTGTAGGAATACTTGTTACTGGAGTTATAGTCTTAACTATAATGCTGTTATCTTAAGTGGCACGAACTTTAAAACGAGAAGTATGACCATGCATGGTTGGGATCTGGGTTTCTCAGAAGTGTTTCAAGGATCTCTTTCCATGAAGGTAAAGGGGAGGATAGGCTTGTCTCACAAAACCCCTGAGGGCAGAGACCACACCCTTCAGTTCAGCCTGCTCCTATTAACAGAGCATCATGAAGCAGCTGCTTGTCCCAGGAAAAATAGGCCAGTACATGTTGTGTGTATCGCCAAGCAAAGGCGTGTAGTTACTTCAGGTTATTGGCTTGAAAGGGTAACTTGGCATATCTGGCCACATCCTATATAATAAAAGCCTAATATGTAAATTGACTGAACGGCGGAACGACCAGCAAAACAACCAGTCGCTGTGACACGCACTGACCACCAGAGGGCAGACGCTCAACATAGGAGCTGCCCCTGGTGGTCAGTGTGCTCTCACAGGGGGAGTGCCGCTCAGCCAGAAGCCAGGCTCACTCTGGCAAGTGCAGTGGTGGTGACAGAAGCCTTTCCCGCCTCCACATCAGCGGCAGTGCTAAGGAGCAGCAAGCTGAGCGGTAAGGAGCAGTGAGCAGGCAGGCAGCAAGGAGTGAGGGGTCCCGGACTACAGGAGGGCACAGGCTGGGCTGAGGGATCCCTCCCCCCAGTTCATGAATTTCGTGCACCAGGCCTCTAGTTATCTATATACAAGGCTAATAAGCTAAGTGTCCCTCCACCTGTCCAACCAGTTGCTATGATGTGCACTGACCACTAGGGGGCAGATGCTCAATGCAGGAGCTGCTATGATGTGTGCTGGCCATTTACAGAGAAAGGGCAGCATGGACCTGGCACTGATAAAGCAACACTCGGCTTCTCCCAAGTGGGACACAGGCACTGCCACCACCCCAGAGTGACAGCCCACCAAATTGCAGCCGATACTGCCATGGCGCAAAATGCGGCCCACAGCCCAGCCCACCTTGGAAACGGTGGCTGTGGGCGCTGGGTAGTGATGTCACATAGCAACACCCGGCTTCCTCTCCCTAATGACAACTAGCCTCCTTGCAGTTTCTTCATCTCAGGAACACAACTTGCTTTATAGCCAGGTGCAAACATTTCACACTTTAACCAAATGTCTGTGAAGCATTTTCCCGTGCCTCATCTCATTTGATCCTCACAGAAGTCCTGGAGTAGGTAGATAGGGGACACAGTGGAATCCTATTTTCTTTTCATTAGCCGGAAAATGGAGATTAAGAAAGTTTAGAAACTTGACCCCACTGAAAAGAAGTAAGAAATAGTGGACCTTGAAAATGACTTCAGGTTTTCTCACTGCACAGAATATAGTCAAACACTGCTGCAGTTAAATATTTTACCATGTAGATCCCTGCATGATCTACAGTAATAATCTGCTTCGTGTTGATATTTACTGCTGTGTGCTGACATTACCTGAAAGAGAAGTTGGGGTGCTTCACTGGGCTGGAAAAAGTTTAACGAAAGCAGAAAGCAGGTCTAATTAAGCAAGTTTATTCTATACTAGAAGGCTGGTGCATGAAATTCATGCATTTGAGGGTGTCCCTCAGCATGGCCTGCAGTCTGGGAGCCCTTGGGGGATGTCTGACTGACAGCTTAGGCCTGCTTTCCCCTTGGCCTACACCGTCAGTTGGACATCCTTAGCGCTGCCACAGAGGCAGGAGAGGCTCCCGCCACTGCCGCTGCGCTCGCCAGCTGTGAGCCCAGCTTCTGGCTGAGGGACACTCCCCCTGTGGGAGCGCAATGACCACCAGGGGGCAGCTCCTGTGTTGAGCGTCTGCCCCCTGGTGGTCAGTGCACGCCATAACGACTGGTCATTCCACGGTTCGGTCAATTTGCATATTAGGCTAAGTTGACTCGCATATGCGTGATACATATAAAGTTCTTGCTGGTGCAAATCACACGTGTGTTTCTAGCTGTCATTGTTGATCATTAATTTGGTTGATACTTCTATTATAGAGAAAGGGCAAATAATGATATTAAAATATTTCTTTTAATTGATTTCTTTTCAATGTGCACGAATCAGTGTACCAGGCCATTAGTTTTTAATATGACGTCATGAATCAAGTCTCCCAGGGGAAGGAACATGGAATAAAGTGCATTTTTCTCTTTTTTTTTCAGTTCCGTTCTCTGAACTTGGTCTCCGAGTGCCTTTTTTCTCTGATAAATGGAGATGACATGTTTGCGACGTTTGCAGGAATGCACCAAAAAAGTTACTTGGTCTGGCTATTTAGCAGACTTTACCTCTACACGTTCATCAGCCTCTTTGTATATATGATTTTAAGTCTTTTCATTGCACTGATCACTGATACATATGAAACAATCAAGGTAGGCTCATCAGTAGCCATAAGTGGCAGCATTTTCCTAGAATTTGTGGAGTGACAATAACATATAGTACCTATGGGGGAGGGGAATTAAGGGAATATTAATTTCTTCAGGGTAGAGAAGAAGGACTTCAGTTTTAGATACTGAGAAACAGAAATGAATGAGAAATAGAAGTGTAGAATGTTGGAAGTTTTGTCTTCACGTAATTGTGCTTTTTATTAAAATTATAAGGATTAGTAAGTGTTGTGTGAGTACAGCAGATGACATTCCAGAAAGCCAGAATTTGGCGTGGTGAACTTTTTTTTTTTTTTACATTAATCCAATTGAAAATTTTAATTTCTATATAAATTAAATCTCTGAATTTGAGAAGACAAATATTAGTTGCAATTACCAAGATAACTTGTTGAATAGACCTATGTTCATAAGGAACAACACAGAAGAGATCTGGAAGTGAATAAGAAAGTTGAAAAAAGAAAAAGGATGTGGAAGTTTAAAGTCAAAGGTAAAATACAAAGTCATTAAAAGAAGAAAAAAGAGAGAGAGAAGAAATAATTTATATAGATAAAGCCTAAGCTACCATTACAACTGGAACGACCAGAACAACCAGTCAACTGGTTGCTATGGCGCACAGTGACCACCAGGGGGCAGAAGCTCAATGCAGGAGCTGCCCCCTGGTGGTCAGTGCGCTCCCACAGTGGGAGCGCCACTCAACCAGAAGCCAGGCTCACGGTTGGCGAGCTCCGCCTCAGTGGCAGCACTATTGAGCAGTGGCGGTGGCAGGCGCAGCAGGGCCAGGATGAGCGACATTGGAGCTGTGCCTGGCCCGGGCTGGGGCTCCTCCCGGCTGCCTGCTGCTTTGGCACTGCTACATCCCCCAAGGGGTCCCGGATTGCGAGAGGGTGCAGGCCAAGCTGAGGGACCGCACCTGTGCACAAATCCGTTCATTGGGCCTCTTAGTGTTTAATAATATAGAAAAAAAAGGTACCGATGGCATTAATCTCCCATCACTTAGGTCATTTTTTGCAGTTCATTCTGTGGCAGGCAGCTAGACAGACATTTGCAGAGCAAGGACAATGGGCAGGTAGATTGTCTTTACCCAGCAAAAGACAATTGTAGGGTGGGACCTTGCCCCCAGGGTAGCCTTTCTTTTCTCCTCCTAGCATATCGCTGGTCATGCAATTTGGACCCCCTGACCTTTCACCCTAGAAATAACATCTAAGCTTCAGTTGTATTTTAGTTCCAGGCCCAGAAAAGCAACAAAACCAGCCACAGCTGACCTCAGGACCAGCTGCCCTGGTGCTCCTGGGGTGGGGAACTTTTAAAATCCAGTTTTATAAAGAAAAATTGACCTCTTCGTTTGGAATGTGCTGTCACTGAACTCATTACTCCTTTGCATGGTCCCCTCCCCAGTTGGAAACTTGATTTAAAAAGCTGTTATGATTTGTATTATCATTCACAAGGGGCATTTTTAAAAAATCCATTTAAGCCCTATGAAATATGGAAAGGCAGAATAAACATCCAGATAGGTTTAAATTTCGAATAACCTTGTATTGCTAGGTACACTATTGGCATAGGCACTTTCACTTGGGGACTTTTCTTTCTGGGTGTGAGAGGCAGAATGAAATGAGATGGACCAGGGATTGGGAGTTGATGCATTACGAGTTGATAATTATGAAAACTTTGCTCAGGAAGCCAGGGCCATGACTGCATGCTCACTGAATCAGATTTCAGGAACTGACTGCTTGCTTGGCAGATTTGTGCTTAGAGTCACCACGGTGACTGGGAAAGAATGTAGTTGTACCTGTCCAAATCCCTTCCCATGATGCTCTAAAAATCTACCACCTTCCACTCTGCATGCAGAGAACTGTATGTTCTTTAAAGGCGACATCCACTATCTCTAAGGGTAACATGACTTGACAACTTTCCATAACACAACTTGAGACTCATAGTTTAGATGTTAACTTCTTTTCGTGGGCTCAGAGCACTTCCAAATGGGAACGCTGAGTTATTTCTGATCCTTTCTGGTCAGGGCACCTTCTCAAGTCTTAGATCCCCAAACTGATATAAATATGAGGCCCTTAAACAAGGCTTTCTGTCCAGAAGAGAGACTCCCAAAGGGTGTGCAGACTGGAAAGGTCCCTCACAGCACTCAGATCTTTGTTCAGACTCCTGAACCAGCTTAGGAGCATTCAGGGCTGGGCTGAGGAAGGCTAGGTATGCCTCCCGGCCCCCGGCCCCCCGCCCTCCTCCCCGCTCCAGCTCCCAGCAACACCATTGTTAATCTGCATCAGCTGGGCCACTGTGGCCTGAACCGGGTTCCAGCCAAGGTGCCTGCTACACATTAGCCTCCAAGTCATGGGCTGTAGGGCGAGGTTCTCAGACTGGGAGCAGGACTGGCTGGTGCTTCCTGGACGGAGGGCTCAGATGGACTCAGATTCAACATGCTCGTTTTAGGTTGACCCAGCCCACAAAGGAGAGGCCAGGAGGGCACTGCTGGATCCCAGACCCCCTTTACTTTAGCCAAACCTATGACATCTCCCTGAAAATACTTGGAAGTGACTACACTAGCCCTCTAGAAAGATCTCCTCCCTTGCCAAATGAGCTATTTTAAATTAGGAATAAAGCAGTTTCAAGGGGTTCATTAATGAGAGCTATTATTTTTATTCTTCTGCACAGCATTACCAGCAGCATGGCTTCCCAGAGACCAGACTTCGGACATTTATAGCAGAGTGCAAAGATCTACCCAACTCTGGAAAGTACAGATTAGACGACGAACCTCCAGGATCTGTATTCTGCTGTTGTACAAAGTAGCTCTCAGGCTTATCTGTGCTCTAGAGGAAAATATGATGTGTAGCTGAGTTGGGAAACTTATGGATATTTTAAGATCTGGTGGAGTATGTTTGAAGACTATCATTTTGAGCAAATTGATAGCTATAATTCATTAAGAACGCATTAGGTTTATAATTTAAAAGCAATAATTATTGTCTTTTTAGCTTTATGTTGAGTTTATTTAAAACAAAACAAAACACTACCTTTGATTAGTGAAGCTATTGGCTTCTTATTCGTTCTTTATTTTGCCATAGCTTTAGAAGGTGTTTTCTATGCCACTCTTTGTTGTTGTTGCTGTTGTTAATCCTCATCCGAAGGTATTTTTTCCATTGATTTTTAGACAGAGTGGAAGGGAAGGGGAGAGACAGACAGAAATATCCATCTCCCTGACAGGGACTGGGGATTGAGCCTGCAACCGAGGTAGTACGTGCCCTTGACCAGAATTGAACCTGGGACCTTTCAGTCCACTGGTTGATTGATGCTCTATCTACTGAGCCAAACTGGCCAGGGCTCCATACCACTCTTTAGCTCTTAACCTCTTGCTTACAGTGATTCGGACTGTGCTGATTGCATCATCAGTGGAAAACATTGCCTGGACTGGGCCCACTTGTGAGAGAGAGAGGATGTTGCTGTATATCCAGTAATCATTGCTTTGTAAGACCAGGCCAGAATAGGAAACAACCAACACTGACTAACACTCCAGTATTTGTGAATCTGTTATATGCTTCTTATAGTTCTGGAGAGGATCTGGTGTTTTAGTATTCATGTATAAGTTTTCTCCTTCAGTGTTAAAGTAAAAAGTTGAAAGAATATCTTATACATTTATGAAAATTTAAAGCACCTTCAAAGGCATGTCCTATCCCACACGGATTATTTTATCAGTACCTGCATGGCCCTGTGGACACTGACGTACTGTGTGCCCTTCACAGGCACATTCAGCCTCAGAAAGGAGCAGCATTTTAGGGTTGGGAACTGTTGTTTTGTGGGGAGAGGTTCCATAACTCACATTTAAAACATTTTATAAAACAGCTTTCCTCAAAATTTTAAAATAAGTGGGAAATGTATGCCTTTAAAAGACACAGAACCAAAGTCTCTATCCTTGCAAAATGCTGATTCGAAGTTTCAGGGATTTTCCTAACATGAATCTTTGTTTTGTGTACTGTTTGTTCAAGTAGAAATGAACTCAATGATGTGCAATAAAGGTTTTCTCAAAGCAAACTCTTTTTTTTTGGAAGGAAACTAATTTGTCAATTTCTTATTTTGGTTTAAGGGCTAAATGAAGATAGCCCTGAGACACTAAAATCTTTATTTAATCATGACCATAACAATGTTGAAATGTGAGATATTATAACAACCATAAGCTATGTTTGTAGTGCCTTTGGTTTTTTAGAAATAAAAAAACCTAAACCTCTAGGTGAGTTTTTTTCCTTAGTTGTAATATTTGTATCATGATCATTTTCAGAACTTAAGTTGTGTTTATTATCTGGTAAATACGTTTCTGTACTCCTTGCGAGATTTTTCGACTAGCAATAATACTTCGATGGGAACACAAAACCACTGACTCAGTGCTGGGCCTGGGGTTTTGCTTGGCCCTGAAGTCATGTTCCTGCTGTGGAATTAAAACCAGTGACGTGGCACCTTCATGAGTCTCCTGATTCTCCAAGCTTTCCTACTGTGGCAGGAGGGAGTCCCTGATAATTTCAGGGCCTAGTTTTTCGGAAGGATGACCATGAGAGAGTATCTCTATTTCCTGAAAGAAACAGCACTGACTTTTTTTGGAACTGTCCTCAAACCAGTACAATGGCTTGCTCTGGGCAGGCAGATACATTATGGGCCGGTGGTTTTCATGGTTTCCTTTTACGTGTATGTGCCATAAAGAATGTCAAGGTTCTTGTAAGAAGGACTGGAGAACAGAAGTCTCCCTTTCTTCTCCCAGGTTTCTAGACTGGGCAGCAAGGAGGAGAGGGGGGCTATTAGACTTTGTTGGTGATGTCTATTTGTCTAGGTCAGGTTCTCTGCTCTCTGCCCCTGACATAATGATTCTCAAGCTTGTAGACAGAATCATTGGAGGGGTGGGTTCACATTAAAATGGTGGATGTGCAGGTAATATCAGCAAGATTTCTTATTTTTCAAGTCCGAGGGTGAGATCAGGACTCTTCATTTTTATCAGGCACACAAGGTAATTCTGATGCAAATGGTTCGCGGTGGCTGCATGGCTCAGAGCTGGACCAGAAACAGCTAAATCTCTGTATTGGGGCTACAAATAAGGAACTATCCATAAGCTTCAAGACTCAGACTGGACTTCTGTTTCTTGACCACATTAGTCAAGAGAGAAATCCCAAGGAAAAGAGTTTATAGACATCAAAATAGTTATCGTAGAATCTGTGTTGTCTGTTACCATTATTTTTAGGAAAATTTTGATTTTGTTGATGCACATTTTTTAAAATTTAGATGCCATTTTCTTCTATTAGTTTTATAAGGCTTTGAAAAATGTAATAAATATTGAATTTTAATCTTTTTGTTCCAGCATACCATTTTCAAATTGAATTAATACATAAAGATGTGATGGATTAGGGAAAAAAGATAAAATTATCACTAATTGATGATATGGTGGTCTACATAGAAAATGAATAGAATTAACAAATTTTCAAAACTAATTAAAAGATTCAGTAAGGTTGTTGTATGTAAGATCAATTTAACAACTTCCTAAGCTTCTAGAAAGATAAAGAAATTATTCACAATAGAAACAAAAATTAGAAATTATCCAGCAATTATCCTAAGGTAGAATGTGCAAGACCTTCTCAGAGAAACTTTACAATACATAAAAGGTCTGAATAATTGCTGAAATAATGTATTCATGAATGGGGGCAACTTAGCATAGTAAAAATTCAATTCCCTGCAAATTAATCTATAAATTTAATGTAACAGCAATTAAAAACTCTAGGTGATTTTTCAAACCTCAAAAATTGAGTTCTAAAATTCACATGACAAGATCTCTATGAGGAAAACTACAAAACTCTTTTGAAAGAAATAAAAGAACAAAATTAGTTGGAGAAATATTTCATGTTCATGGATAAGAAAACTCATTGTCAAGATGTCAGTTTTCTCAAACTTGATTTATAGATTCAAAACAATCCCAATCAAAATTCCAGTGATATATTTTGTGGATATTGACAAACTGATTCTAAAGTTTCCATGGAGAGGCAAAAGACCCCAAATAGCGAACACAATATTGAAGGAGAACAAAGTTGGAACACACTACCCAACATCAAGGCTTCCTATAAAAGTATAGTAATCCAGAAAGTGGTGTTGGTGAAAGAATAGCCAAGTAGATCAATGAAACAGAATAGAGGATTCAGAACTAGATTCACTCAAATATAGTCAATTGATCTTTGACAAAGGACAAAGATAGTCTTTTCAACAAATGGTGCTGGAGCAACTGGATATCCACATGCACAAAAATAAGTGTAGACATAAAGCTTACACCCATCACAAAAGCTAACTCAAAATGGATCATCAATGTCTATGTAAAATGAAAAACAATAAACTCCTAAAAGATGTTCTTGTTTGGTGATGACTTTTAATAGTTTCATCTTTATTTTTTGTTAATCCTCACCCAAGGATATCCTTCCATTGATTTTTAGAGAGGGTGGAAGAAAGGGGGAGAGACAGAGAGAAACATTGATGTGAGAGAGACATATAGATTAGTTGCCTCCCACATGTGCCCTGACAAGGGTCGGGGATCGAGCCTATTACTGAGGTGACTGGAATCGAACCCAGGACCCTTCAGTCTGTGCCAACGCTCTATCCACTGAGCCAAACTGGCTAGGGCTGGTGATGATATTTTTAGATGCAGCAGCAAGCACAATCTGGGGAAGGGGTTGTGGGGGAAAGATAAGACTTCATTAAATTAAGATACCATGCAAAAGATACCATCAAGAGGTGAGAAGACAAGCCACAGACTGGACAAACTATTTGCAAAGACATATCTGATAAACACTATTATACAAAATATGCAAAGGATTCTTCAAAGTCAACAAGAAAAAAACAAATAACCTGATTTAAAACTGGGCCAAAAACTTGAATAGACCCCTCACTAAAGAAAATATATAACCCTAGCTGGTTTGGCTCAGTGGATAGAGCATTGGCCTGTAAACTGAAGGGTCCCAGGCTCAATTCTGGTCAAGGGCACATGCCTGGTTGTGAGCTGGATCCCCAGGAGGGGACAGCCGATCAATTATTCTCTCTCATCATTGATATTTCTATCTCCCTCTCCTCTCCCTTCCTCTCTGAAATCAATAAAAGTATATATTTTTTTTAAAAAGAAGATATACAGATGGCAAATAAGCATATGAAAAGGTGCTTGACATTATATGGAATTGCAGATAAATCAACAGTGAGATGCCACTATACACCTATTAGAATAACCAAATTCCAAAACACTAACAACACCAAATGCTGATGGGGATGTGGAGCAACATAAACTTTTATGGAAACGCAAAAATGGGGTAGCCATTTTGGAAGAGAGTCTGGCAGTTTTTTACAAAACTATATTCTTACCATACAATAGAGCATTTGTGCTCCTTGGTATTTAAGCAAATGAGTTGAAAACTTATGTCCACGCAAAAACCTGCACATGGATGTGTTTAGCAGCTTTATTCATAATTGCCAAAATTTGGAAGCAACCAAGATGCCATTCAGTCTATAGGAGGTAGTGAAACTATTCTGTATGAAACTAGACTGGTAGATGAATAGAGACATAAACTGGTACATTCAGATGATAAAGTATTAGTGCTAAGAAGAAATGAACTATCAAGTCATGAAAAGACATGGAGGAACCTTAAACGCATATAACTTAGTGAAAGAAGCCAATCTGAAAGGGCTACATACGGTGTAATTCCACATATATGACATTCTGGAAAAGGCAAAACCATGGAGACAGTAAAAAGTGGTTGTCGGGGGCTGTCAAAGGTGGGGGAAATGAACAGGCAGAGCTCAGAGGATTATTAGGGTAGTGTCATAATTCTGTTGGGCAGCATAACAAAATGACATAAACAAGGTGGCTTATACACAACAGAAAATTACTTTTCACATTCCAGAGGCAGGGAAGTCCAAGATCAAGGTGCCAGCAGACCTGGTACTTGGTGAGAGTCTGCTTTCCGGTTCATAGACAGCTGTGTATGTGCTGTGTTCTCACATGGTGGAAGTGGGCAAAGAACCTCTTTTATAACAACACTAATCCCATTCATGAGGGCTCTACCTAATCATCTCCTCAAAACTCCACTCCCAAATACCATCACACTGGGTATTAGCATTTAACATATGCATTTGCTGGGGTGGGGGTGGGAGGGGAGACAGATATTCAGTCTATAGGAGGTAGGGAAACTATTCTGTATGAAACTATACTGGTGGATACATGTCGTTACATACATGTCAAAACCCATAGACTGCACAACAGCAAGAGTGAACCCTGCTGTGAAGTATGGACTTTGGGTGATGATGTGCCAATGTAGATTCATTGGTAATGTACCATTCTGGTGTGGGATGTTGATGGTAGAGAAGGTTCTGCATGTGTGGGGGCAGGAAGTATATGGGAACTCTATATTTTCTGCTTAATTTTGCTGTGAAGATAAAACTGCACTGAAAAGAAAGCCTATTATTTAACAATTAAAATAATACTCCGTGATATGTGGAACACAAGTACTCTCTTTTGTTTACATATAGTCTGTGACTGCCTTCACACTACAAAAGCAGAGTTGAGTAGTTGCAACAGAGACAGTACACCCCCAATGCCTAAAATATTTCCTGCCTGGCCCTTTAAAGAAAGGTTTGTTAACCCCTGATTCATAAGATAATTTGCTGAAAATTGACTTAGTTACATAGAAAACTTGAGCTGCCTTTCTATCTCTCACCACATGCAAATTTGAAGTATAATGGACTTTGATGAGAAAGAATGTAAATAAAAACGAAATAATGTAAAAAAATGCAGAAAAAGATTTGTGACTTAGGGGTTGAGTAACCCTTCTTAAGATTGCAAAAACACAAGTCATGTGGATTAATATTCTTAATCTTGGTTTCATAATATCAAGTAAGAACTTCCATTCCAGGAAGAACACCATGGACAAAGTTGAGACAGGTGAATTCTGGAAGGAGATACAGTATTTACAATGTCTACAACTGGCAAGGGATTGATAGCTACAATGTACAAAGACTGCTTGCACATCAATAAAAATGGGAAAGGATGTGAACAGTAAGTAAATAAAAGGCAGCAGTGTTTCTCTTATTTTGCTTGTATTTTCTCCACATAAACTTCACAGCGAATATTATTCTTGCCAGCCTATCCCAGAAAATTAATGCATTTTTACTATTAGCCTGTCTGATATTTCCTAGACTTAAAAAAATTCCCCATTT